GAGCTGATGAGCGTCAGCTGTGCTGGAGGGCTCCAGCCCAGGAGGATCCACAGCGCACTCTGCTGGAGAAGGTGGAGAATCTCCAGATCCCAACATTTAACACAGAAAGGTGTGATCATTTCCGTATTAAAGGCTAACTGCGCATCAAGTCTTGTGAATCTCTTTCCCTAAAACCTTCTCTTGATATGGAAAAAAAATAAATAACTGCTCTCTTAGCAGCAAACTTATTCAACAGCCTTTTATGGCTAATTATCCATCTTGCAGGTGGCTGTTCAAATTCCCATTAGTAGTCAACCTCATGATTGAAGCTTACCACATTTGTAATTTTGACATTTCCTGAGAAACTGAACATTGTGTCCATTAGATCTTCAGTAAACAACAATCATTAGAATAAACAGAAATGAGAATGTGAAATATTGTTTGTGTAATGTCCTGTATTAACCTGCCAATCCCTAACGGACTGATGGGATGCTCAGAATTGTTTTTAGAACATAAATAAATTCACAGGACATATTTTTAAATATAACTGACCGTCACTCTGTGTAAAACTCATGCTGTTGTGTGTGATTCTGGTTTTAAGGCTGAAACCAGACTTACAACCAGTCACAGGATCCAAGTCCCGCCCTCAGCTCTTCAGAGAAGCAGAGGAGCAGATTCTGGGGAAACTGTCCAGCTGGTCGTCTCTGTGATCAACAGCACTCTTTTTCAGGTGGGATCCTGTGAGCCAACAAATGCAATAACCTTTATGCACTTCTATAAACTATGTTCTTACAAAGTGATCTGTGATATCAATTGTTGCACGGTAGCTCGCCACTGCTCTGCAGAGGGGGGTAAAGGCTGCAGGCGGTACTGTAGGTAGCAGCTTCCCTCAGACCCTTGAGCCACAATTAATTCCATCTATTTCTCTTTCTTTCTATAATATTAAGCTTATTGAACCATGAGTCCAGATTCCTTAAGCCAAACATGTAGGGGTGTAAATAATAATCGTTTTGTATCGATGCATCGATCCAACGGCCGACGATCCAATGCAGCGATACGTCCGCAAGATTATTAATTCATGTTTTTTTTCACAACAAAAAAAGACTTCTAAAAAAATAAGAAAAAAATATAGTGTTTTAAGTGAATTATTGCTTATTTTTAGCAAAATAATCTGACAGTGCAGCAAGCAAATGAGACTTGGTAAGATTT